GGGAAAGATGAGAGATCTTGACTCTCTGTTGCATGTCTTAGCATCGTCCTACAACAGAGATGAGTACCAGCCTTTGAGACAACACAGTGTCCATACAGTAAACACAGCCCCATCAACGAACAACACCCTTGATCCCCCCACCAATCCTCTACTGGCTATAGGAGACTTCTCCAGTTTTCCCTGAAGAATCCTAACAGCCTTTAGCTCTGATACTCTTCTCCTGCAGGTAGTGGTATACCTGCACAGACTTGCCACAGCCTTTAATCCAGTGGCAACAACAACCCAACAATTTGATATAAACACTTGATTACCAGTGCTCAGTGCATTGCCCCTTGAATAAACCCTCTACATCAATCATCTCGCCACCTCACAAGCAACCTCTATTGCTTGCGTTGAAGCAACGACACTACAGTCAAGACCTCCAGGATACACAACTCCCCACCAACCCAACTACCACACCCACCCATGAATTCCCCATGTCTACACCACTTCACTCAAACCCAAGGTCCTCCCAGACATCCCCCACTCCCACACTTCACCCACAACCACATCCACCATTCTCCCGCAGACTGCAACAACACCACCCCCCAGATGATCACCAACAGCTCCTAGAGCATGCCAGCCATTGAGATCACACCTTCGAATCACAACCCAACCTATCAGAGGAGATGCCTTTGTTCTCACCCTTGAACAGAGGCACGCCTCTATCCTACAACACACCATCAACCATGCTACATCCCAACTACTACAACAACACTCCAACACCAACAGGATCTCCCCTCATGCCCCTGGCACCAGCCCACTCCCAGTGCCCCCCTATCCTCCTTCTATTGACTCAACAACCCCTCGAACAGCCCACAACACTCCAGCAGCCACTGTGCCTCCCTCCTGGGAACCACACAACTGCCAGTGGTGTCATTTGACCCCATCTTCTGCCTGCTTGTTGGCTCTATCTAACAATTTTTTGCTTTGGATGGGTTACACCCTGCTCTGGTCCACCTGAGGAGTACCACCTCCTAGGGCTCTGCTGGCATCTTGCTTGCATGCCAAGGCCCTTGCCACAGCTTGGACCTGATCACCCAGACACACTTACTGGCGATGCATCTTTGGTCTGGCAATCTAACTGGTCCTCATCGGTCCCTTTGGTGATAATGGTTTAATAACGACAAAAATCCTGTGTAAGCCCCTGTAACCCAGGTTTTGCGCTGCGGTTCCCTATCAATGTGCATACCCCCTACCCAGGGCATCTGTTACTTGGTGCTGGCTCACGTTGGGCAGTGGATGAGGTCATGTTGATTGGGCAAACAAGTAGATGACGACTCAGCTAGGTGGGGGCTTCCCCACCACTTGCCGCGTCATAAAAGCCACTCCGTGGCCATAGTTTGCTAAACTAATGAGTATTTTACACCCCCTAGCTACTAGGGGGTTAATTACTACTTAGACTAGAATCTATCGGTCGGAGGACCTTTTTCTACGCTGGCAATAGTTGAGCCCGAGGGCCCAAATAGCTGAGTCGTATACCATTGACGAATTGCACGATATAGTCGTCGAGCGGCGCCCAGAGGATGGTGTCGATGTCGTACTAGTATTGTGTCGAACTTTGAGTGAAACGAAATCGACCTCTTCCACCTCATACCGTAGGTGTGACCCACCTACGGTATGACCGTAGGTGGGTCCCACTACGTCATCATGCTTAATGCACTGATACATGATTTGCTTTTTATTGTTGCTTCATGGTCCACGGTCGAAGGACCTGAGCTTCTGTAGATAAGTAAAACTCTTTAGTTGTAAAACCTCCTACAAAATCGAGGCAAAAACGGAGTACTAGACTAGTAAGAGTATGATTAGCTGCACCAGCTGCAGGTGGGTTGCATAAATAAATAGTCTAATCGGATGGCCTCAATGCCTCAATGTCTAAAAAGCTGCCGGTGAGTTAAGCCGATCCTAACGGTGACACGCGACCGACATACGTGACAATGATTAGCCAATCGGACTTGCCAGATCATTTTTTCACATCTCGTGCTCAACTTTCGAACCCGACATTTTGGGAAAATGTCGGGGTGGCCAGTCATGCTTCCGCGACATTGCAGAGGGTCTGTTTTCCATCCAATTTCTCTAGTCGCGCACCTCCCCACCCACATTTCGTCAAAAACGTCATCGTCAACTGTAGAACAGAACATATGAAAAACAGGATGGGCGATGAGGGCGATGAATGTTGATGAGGTTGACTCGCTACAAAGCATCACTGATGCAGTAAGCCTCAGTGACTGTCTTCGTGATGATGGAAGTCTAGACATCCAGCGTTACCGAAGCTACCTGCAACAAGAGGACGCTGAAGAAGACAACGAGGAGGCATATTTATGTGCTTTGCACAGGGAACGAGAGACAATGGAAGCAGAAGCCACGTCGTCAGCATCAAAAAAGCCCAGAACAAGGCGCAGCAAATCCATCAAGCCCTACTATTTTGACGCCGATGGAAACAAAGTCACTTTGAAGCCCAGGCAAACTGTGTGGTACGAGATTAAAGTGGGTTTTGGATGGGACCATGCTTTATCCAGTGTAAATTTCTTGAAAAACATTTTTAACCCACTTTGTACCGTAAGGATTGTCCCAAATGACTAACTTACCTAACAACAAGTCGCGAATTTCAAGCAATTTCACTCATAGGAATACCACTGTGTTGCTCTTGTCAAACAGACAAACTCTAGTTTAGTTTATATGTTAAGGCTTGATCCCCTTCTGCTACTTATTTTGAGTTTAGAGTTTAATTGTGCACGGACACTTTCTAAGTCATTCTGCTAAAAAGTGACTGGGACAACAGCCCTTTAATCATTTGTACTGTGTTTTATATAGTAAATTGGTGTTGTCCCAAAACGCCCGTGAGAAATGCACTTTAATTCTGTACCTTTGCTACATAGCATTCCCTAGTCTGGACTGTGCCAAATTCTGCAAGAAGTTTCGAAGAAGGTTTCGCATGCCGTATCAAGAGTATCTGGGTGTCTTGGCCAAAGCCAAAGCAAATGATGCATTTCGTCGCTGGAGATCCAAGGATGCTGTGGGAATTGCAAGCTCGCCAATTGAATTATTGACACTTGGTGTTCTTCGCTATCTCGGAAGGGGTTTGACGTTCGATGACTTGGAAGAGATGACAGCCATCCACGAGGAAACCCATCGCCAATTCTTCCATACATTTATTGATTTTGGAGCAAACATTCTCTACCCACTGTATGTGAAGATGCCACAGAATGCAGAAGAATTCGCGGATCATCGAAAAGAGTTCAATGTGGGAGGCTTGACTGGGGCAGGATGGTCCACAGATGCTACCAATGTTGTCATGTGGCGTTGCTCCCATAATCTCAAGCAGGCGAACATGGGCTTCAAGCAGTCCCATCCTGCCAGAACATACAACATGACATGCAACCATCGTCGGGAGATACTTCACACAACCAAAGGGCATCCTTCTCGCTGGAATGACAAGACACTTGCTCATTTCGATGAATTCATGAACAGCGTCTATCAAGGAAGGATCTTGCAAGATGTCAGATTCCGGCTGTTCTCTTGGGAAGGTGATGTTGGAAGCTCCCGTCTTGAATCAACCACTTATGCCGATGCCTGGGGCTTAGTTGACAATGGCTATCACCATTGGGCGTGCACACAAGCCCCTTCCAAGCTCAATTTGATGCGATCAAAAGAAAGGTTGAGCCAGTGGATTGAATCAGTTCGCACAAAGATGCAGAGTGTTGCTTTGGCATTTTGAAAGGCCGCTTTTGAATCCTCAAAACTGGAATAAGAGTTGTGCAATACACGGCTCTTAGCCTTATTCGCGACTCGATCCTAGATAGGGTTTGAGTTCGACTCATGACGTAGTCCTTCGCGAATAGTCATTGAGACAGGGTTCTCATGACTGCTAGTCATACTAGGTTGTCGATGGAACATCGCTCTAGATATTTAGCCAGCGTGGAAAGCTTCCGCGCTACTAGACAGCAACTAGCTGAAGTTTCCACGTGTTCCGGAAATGGACCGTGGAGTACGTAGAGTTATTACCATAACCTACGATATCACATTTCGAGGCCTCCCGCGGGAGACCAACTTCAATGAGCTTCACAACGATCTCTCTCATGGATTAGTTTTCGTAGCTTTCTAATCTCTCTCATAACTTTCATTCTCTCAAACTCAAAACACTCGAAAGATCTTTACACTAGCTTTTAGCGTAGTGCATTTTGTTAACAAACACAATAGCTTTCAGTTACCCTCAACCTATTCCTTCACCATGAAGATTGCTCAAGGAAAGCATGCGTTCAGCAACTTCGAGAAACAGTTGTGTGACAAACATTCTTCCTCTCGTCGACAATGACGAAGATAACGAGGTCGACGACACTCGTGCAACCACATACAAACTTCACACCATTCCTGCAGACGCAAATAGTGCCAAGTACACTTTCAAGGTAGCCATCATCAATGGCTCCAACACTCCACGTGAGACCATCAAGTGGGCCACGAATATGGAGAAGGTCTTCGTTGGACTCAACCTTGCTGGTCCCGGCGACAAACATCGTCTTCTCAAGGAGATGACTTCCAGCTCTGCAAAGAGTGCCTACAAAGCTGGGTGTGCAGGCAGTCGTGCCGTGCGTCATAATGCCCTTCGACAAATTGCTGTGAATGCAATTGCTCCATGCGACGTAACCTCTGGAGAAACCGAGGCTGCATTCCAGGCTCGTGTCCAGGCTGCATGGGATGGTGCAGCAGAACCCGCTCTAAGCGATGCTGACATCACCTTTGGAATCAACGCGGTGATCGAACAAGCCTGTCCTTACAAGGCTCTCAAAAAACAGAAACGCTTCATGCGTCGTAAGATGCGCAAGCCTAGCGAGATGACAACTCGTGCCTACATCAACAACCTCACTCGGATGAACACCGATGAACTTCCACGTTTGCCACCTTTCGGTGCCAATCAACAGTTGAACCAGGACAAATTCATTGACATCATCTGTCATGACATTCCTCGTTCCTGGATGCGCAAAATGGACGAACACGACTTCGATCCTTTCACTGCCGAGATGACAGCTCTCATTGGATTCTGTGAGCACATGGAATCTGCTGAAGACTTTGACAAAGGCAGCGATGCCAAGCAAGCTACTTCAAAGAAGAACAGTAGCAAGAAGTACAAGTCTAGCCGCAACAATAATCACTCCTCCAAGAACGAAGGAAAGTGGTGTGACTACCACGAGTCCAGCACTCACGATACTGCTGACTGCATGACTCTGAAGAAACTCAAGTCCAAGTCCTCGTCTGGCAACGATAGCAAGCCAGCGTACAACAAGAACAAGACTTGGAAACGTAAGTCTGACGATGCCAAGTCCTACACCAAGAAGGAACTTTCTGTCCTTATGCTGTCTCCACCGCTGCTGTCAAGGCCGATCGCAAGAAGAAAGGCGAATGCAACCATGTTGCCAAGCGCAAGTCGGATAACTCTGACAACGAGGATAACTCCTCTGTCGGGTCCATCAACATGATGGACAAGAAAATGGCCACAGTCGACAAGGCTCTTGCGGACTTCGATTTCAATCAATCGGATGGAGAAATCTCCGTCTGAGGATTAGGCCAGGATGATGATTCAACGGAACCATGTTCCGATTTCTCATACCTAACTGATGAAGATATCTCACTAACTAGTAAACAAGAATTGTTTGCAACTGATGAACTCTACGGCAAATTAGACGATTCCCTAGAAGCTGCTCAATTAGATTCTGACGATCTATTTAGCATTGTTAACCTCGTCCGTGGGCAACCACCTCGTAAACGTCGCAAGACAAGAGACCTCAAACCTATCGTCTATGTTAGATTTAACAGACGAGAAAAAGGGAAACCAAAACCCGTTACACTCCGTTGTTTACTGGATACAGGAGCATCCGGAAATTTGATTGCTCAAACTCATGCTAAGAAATTACGCATGAAGGATCTTGGGGGCGTCCAAACGATGTGGGCTACCCCTGCAGGAGAATTAAACACCAGCACGAAGTGCAAGGGTGCCTTTATGATTCCTGGCATAGCTGTTGGAGCTATCTCTGACGGGATCCAGAGCTCTCGCTCCTAAAAGTTATCGTATGACATGATCATAGGTCGAGACATTCTCTCCGATCTAGGATTTAAGTTTGATTTCACTACCATGTCAGTGGAATGGGACGGCATATCTATTCCTTTGAAAGATAGCGATACCAATGAAGAAGAGAACTTCTTCATTCCTGATCCTACAGCTGTCGACGACAGTGCAGATCGTCTCAAGAAGATTCTTGATGCGAAATACGAACAAGCTGACTTAAGGCAGGTATGCCAAAGTCAAGATCAGTTAAATAAGGAAGAGCAGGAACAGCTCCATGCCTTATTGCCCAAGTACTCCGATCTATTCGATGGTACTTTAGGAAGGTGGCAGATGGAAGACTACGAAGTAGAACTTCTCCCTGATGCTAAACCCAATCACGCTAGGGCTTATCCTATTCCACGTGTCCATACCAACACTCTTAAGATGGAGGTTGAACGTCTCTGCGAAGCAGGAGTACTCAAGAAGGTAAACCGTTCCGAGTGGGCGGCACCAACATTTATCATTCCCAAGAAGGATGGATCTGTACGGTTCATCTCCGACTTCCGGGAACTGAACAAAAGGATTAAGCGAAAACCTTATCCGATCCCAAAGATACAAGACATGCTACTGAATCTAGACGGATTCAAGTACGCTACTAGTCTCGACCTGAACATGGATACTATCACATCGAGCTGTCACCTCACCCGAAACAACTCTATACTATCGTTCTTCCATGGGAAAATACGAGTACCAGAGATTGCCAATGGGCCTATGCAATAGTCCCGACATCTTCCAAGAGAAGATGGGAACACTCATGCACGACTTGGAATACGTCCGTGCATACATTGATGATCTACTCATCCTAACTAACGGCGATCTAGCAGATCGCGTTGAAAAGTTAGATGAAGTTCTCCGAAGGCTTCGAGAAGCCGGACTTAAGATCAATGCTACCAAGTCCTTCTTCGCAAGAGGAGAACTTGAGTATTTGGGCTACTGGATTACTCGAGAAGGAATCCAACCCGTAACCAAGAAAATAGATGCAATCCAGAATATCGCTCCTCCTACGAATAGGAAGGAACTTCGTAGATTCATTGGACTAGTGAACTACTATCGAGACATGTGGATCAGACGATCACATGTACTAGCACCACTCGCTACACTTACTTCCAAAACTAAGAAGTGGAAATGGGAAGCTGAACACGACGAGGCCTTTCGCAAGATGAAGAAAATCATCAGCAAAGAAACCTTGCTTGCTTACCCTGACTTCAACGATACATTCGTTATCCACACGGATGCAAGTGATACGCAACTGGGTGCAGTGATTTTCCAGAAGGGGAAGCCTATCGCGTTCTACAGCAGGAAACTCAATCCCGCTCAAACACGCTATACGGTAACTGAGAAGGAACTTCTTAGTATCGTTGAGACTCTCAAGGAGTTCCGTAACATTCTTCTCGGGAAGAAGATTGTAGCACATACGGACCACAAGAATCTCACCTGCAAGAATTTCAATACCGATCGCGTTATGCGATGGCGCCTTATTCTGGAGGAATATGGCCCCGAACTTCGGTACATCAAGGGCGAACACAACATCGTCGCTGATGCGTTGTCGAGACTTAACATCTCGAACAGCGATGGTTCTTCAGAACAAATGGAAGCCAGCGAGATTGCTGAGCTCATGGCCGCAGACGAAGAGGACTTCCCTAGTGATTTCCCTCTCTCATTCCCCGAGATCGAACATCACCAGAAGGACAATAACGATATCAAGAAACTCCTCAGGGACAAGCCAAACGACTACAAGAAACAATCTTTTCCCAGAGTGGACAAGTCCTATGAACTAGTAGTCAAGGACGACAAGATTGTTGTGCCTAAGGCCATGCAGAAGAAGCTGGTCGAATGGTATCATGGTGTACTGATGCATCCTGGCGAGACTCGCACAGAACTTACTATCAGTCAACACTACACCTGGAAGGGGTTGCGCAAGACTGTGCAGTCCGTATGTCAGCGTTGCCAAAGCTGCCAACTGAACAAACCCAAGACGCGTAAGTTGGGATTGCTTCCTCCAAAGACTTGCAAGGAGATCCCTTGGGAAAGACTATGTATTGACCTGATAGGTCCATACAACATCGGGGATCCTAAGAAAAAGGACTCCTGTACACTTCATTCCCTGACAATGATTGATCCCATAACCGGATGGTTCGAGATTGCGGAGATCTGCTCCGAAGCAGCAGACGAAGTAGCCATTGTTCTAGAACAGACGTGGCTTACTCGGTATCCATGGCCTGCTGAGGTTATCATGGATAGAGGACGTGAGTTCCGCGCAGAAGTCGAGAAGACTCTCTGGGAAGAATATGGACTTCGTCGCAAGTTCATCACCACACGTAACCCTCAAGCCAACTCGATTGTCGAGCGTGCTCATCAGACCATTCGTAACTTGATAGCTGTTCAGAATATCAAGTGTCAAGACGACCTCGTGAATGGATCCTGGGATGGAGTCCTCACGGCGGTTCGGTTTGCAATGAATGCCACGATTCATACCACCTTGCGTGCAACGCCTGCACAGCTCGTGTTCAATCGTGATGCGATTCACAACGTCCGTTTCGAAGCAAACTGGAAATACATCAAGGAACGTCGCCAATGACTTATCCAGAAAAACAATGATAGGGAGAACGCGACGCGTGTCTCTCATCAATACAATGTCAATGATACTGCGATGATTCAACAGTATCAGCACCGCAAGTACGGTCAGCCAAAGTACAAAGGTCCTTACAACATAGACCGAGTCAATGACAATGGCACTGTACGGCTCCGACATGCTACCGCCAATGGCGGCACAGTCTACCAGACTTGGAACATAAGGTATTTACACCCATACAAGGCCTGATCCCCTTGTAGGATTGCCATCGTGCGACGCATATGTCTACATCCAATCTCCGGAGAGTGCCCCGCACTTTATTCATATGTTCTCCTTGCCCGACTGATGTCGTGCCTTCTGTGACCCTTGTCAGGGGGCGAATGCAATACACGGCTCTTAGCCTTATTCGCGACTCGATCCTAGATAGGGTTTGAGTTCAACTCATGACGTAGTCCTTCGCGAATAGTCATTGAGACAGGGTTCTCATGACTGCTAGTTATACTAGGTTGTCGATGGAACTTCGCTCTAGATATTTAGCCAGCGTGGAAAGCTTCCACGCTACTAGACAGCAACTAGCTGAAGTTTCCACGTATTCCGGAAATGGACTGTGGAGTATGCAGAGTTATTACCATAACCTACGATATCACACTTCGAGGCCTCCCGCGGGAGACCAACTTCAATGAGCTTCACAACGATCTCTCTCATGGATTAGTTTTCGTAGCTTTCTAATCTCTCTCATAACTTTCATTCTCTCAAACTCAAAACACTCGAAAGATCTTTACACTAGCTTTTAGCGTGGTGCAGTTGACGGTGCTGAAGCTGCAGACAAGATATGGCTTACGTGTTGTGCCCTCCACAATCTACTGCTCCGTGTTGATGGTCTTGCAGAATGGGAAGGATCTCTGGGTGAAAATGATGCTGAGGATATGAGACGGCATGCACCCTTCGCTATTCAACGCCTCAGTGACACCCAGCTTCGAGCCTTTGGTAGCAGGGAGCACGAGCAACAGGCAGAATTGGAAGAACAACAGCGCAGAGTTAAAGACCCACAAAAAACGCACTGGAAAACGAAGACGAACAGATCCAGCAACAAGACGATGACCATTTGACCGGACAACGGCATGCAGCAGATGGTGCTGTGTTGGTGAACTCTCTATCCTACGATGAGTTTCGAAACCGTCTAGTGGAACACTTTGATATACTCTGGCGAAGAAACAGAGTTCGATGGCCACAGCGGCAACAGCAAGAACCTAATAATAATAAAACGTTGTCTTTCATTTTGTCTTTTCTACTCAGTCCTCCTCTTGCGCAAAGTACTGCTGTGCAGTGGCGATATTCAGGTCTTCTTTGCGTGCCCTGTTGGCATAGTAAACTCCTCCAGTCCCATAGTTGATGTTCGAACTACCTCCACGAATTTCTTCTTGCGCGACTCTGGCTTGGGTTTCAGCAAACGTTGGTTGCGAGCATGGCCTTGGCTGGATGTTAAGAAGCGTAGTGCCATTGGCTTCCCTCTCACGAAAATCCAACAGAACCTGCTGCATTTCGACAGGCAATCTAGAAGCCATTCCTTGTAGTGCCGGCATGGGTTGTTCTTCTTCTTCCTCGTCCTCTTCGCCGAACCCGATGTCTCTTTCATTCCTTGGAACAACAACAACTTCAACTTGGTCATCCGACTCTTTGCCTGTCTTGGTTTCTTCTTCTTCTTCTTCTTTGTCATCTGACATGACATCTTGCGACGAAGTGAGCTGAGAGCAATGCGATGGAAGTTGCTTGTGGATCTTTCCTCCCTGTGCGGCACCCTTGTTGTTGTTGTTGTTGCCTGTGACACCGGTAATGCTGGAGTCAGCATCACTGCTCTTGGGAACTGAAACTGCCTTGGGGACGGTTTCGAAACCCATTGCCTCATAATACGCCGTCACTTGCACTTGATCATTCTTCTTTGTCATCAACCGGTCACTCTCTTCTTCCAGTTCAACCTTCCTCTTTGCAAGTTTATCCAAATTGTCAAAGATATTGTTCTTTCTTTTTCTCAGAATAGAAACTTCGCGATAGAAACTTCGCGATCCTCCTGCCTAGCTTCAGCTCTGTCCAACATAGTGTTGATCTTGCAATACACGGCTCTTAGCCTTTTTCGTGTCGACCTCGTTTCTTCGTCATTTCGACGAGAGGAAGATGTGTTTGTCACGCAACGTTTCTCGAAGGTTGCGGAACGCATGCTTTCCTTGAGCAATCTTATGTGAGGAATAGGTTGAGGGTAGCTGAAAGCTATTGTGTTGTTAACAACTGCACTACGCTAAAAGCTAGTGTAAAGATCTTTCGAGTGTTTTGAGTTTGAGAGAAATGAAAGTTATGAGAGAGATTAAAGCTAGAAAACTAATCCATGAGAAGATCGTTGTGAAGCTCATTGAAGTTGGTCTCCCGCGGGAGGCCTCGAAGTGTGATATCGTAGGTTATGGTAATAACTCTACGTACTCCACGTCCATTTCCGGAACACGTGGAAACTTCAGCTAGTTGCTGTCTAGTAGCGTGGAAGTTCCACGCTGGCTAAATATCTGAGCGATGTTCCATCGACAACCTAGTATGACTAGCAGTCATGAGAACCCTGTCTCAATGACTATTCGCGAAGGACTATGTCATGAGTCGAACTCAAACCCTATTAGGATCGAGTTGCGCGACAAAGG